TCAATGAGAAAGATTTCTGCCTCCCAGGTGTCTTTTTATACATAGGGAGTGCTCCTAATCTCAGTTTGTTACCTGTATAAAATACACCTGTCTACAGAAGCAATCAATCAATCAGATTCCAAACTCTCCACCATGGCCAAGACCAAAGAGCTCTCCAAGGATGTCAGGGACAAGATTGTAGACCTACACAAGGCTGGAATGGGCTACAAGACCATCGCCAAGCAGCTTGGTGAGAAGGCGACAACAGTTGGTGCGATTATTCGCAAATGGAAGAAACACAAAAGACCTGTCAATCTCCCTCGGCATGGGGCTCCATGCAAGATCTCACCTCGTGGAGTTGCAATGATCATGACAACGGTGAGGAATCAGCCCAGAACTACACGGGAGGATCTTGTCAATGATCTCAAGGCAGCTGGGACCATAGTCACCAAGAAAACAATTGGTAACACACTACGCCGTGAAGGACTGAAATCCTGCAGCGCCCGCAAGGTCCCCCTGCTCAAGAAAGCACATATACAGGCCTGTCTGAAGTTTGCCAATGAACATCTGAATGATTCAGAGGAGAACTGGGTGAAAGTGTTGTGGTCAGATGATGAGACCAAAATCGAGCTCTTTGGCATCAACTCAACTCGCTGTGTTTGGAGGAGGAGGAAGGATGCCTATGACCCCAAGAACACCATCCCCACCGTCAAACATGGAGGTGGAAACATTATGCTTTGGGGGTGTTTTTCTGCTAAGGGGACAGGACAACTTCACCGCATCAAAGGGACGATGGACGGGGCCATGTACCGTCAAATCTTGGTTGAGAACCTCCTTCCCTCAGCCAGGGCATTGAAAATGGGTCGTGGATGGGTATTCCAGCATGACAATGACCCAAAACACACAGCCAAGGCAACAAAGGAGTGGCTCAAGAAGAAGCACATTAAGGTCCTGGAGTGGCCTAGCCAGTCTCCAGACCTTAATCCCATAGAAAATCTGTGGAGGGAGCTGAAGGTTCGAGTTGCCAAACGTCAGCCTCGAAACCTTAATGACTTGGAGAAGATCTGCAAAGAGGAGTGGGACAAAATCCCTCCTGAGATGTGTGCAAACCTGGTGGCCAACTACAAGAAATGTCTGACCTCTGTGATTGCCAACAAGGGTTTTGCCACCAAGTACTAAGTCATGTTTTGCAGAGGGGTCAAATACTTATTTCCCTCATTACTGGATTTTGTTGTTGTTATTCTGTCTCTCACTGTTCAAATAAACCTACCATTAAAATTATAGACTGATAATTTCTTTGTCAGTGGGCAAACGTACAAAATCAGCAGGGGATCAAATACTTTTTTCCCTCACTGTAGGGTGCCATTTGGGACGCTAAGTTTTAGTGCGTTTGTAATTTCTCTTTTACCTTCTGTTTAAAAAGACGGTCACCGTTCTTTAGTCTATATTCAATTGTATTTATTTTTCTACAGAATAAAAATAATTGTACATGATGAGTGGTTTGTGATTGTGTCTCTGTGGTAGTGAATGAAGTGGACGACAGGGTTGGGTTGATTCCATTTCAATTCCAGTACATTTCAAAAAGTAATTCCAAATCCAAATGTTGAAAAGCATTGAAGACAATTTGAATTTGAGTGTACTTCCTGAATTGACCCCAAACCTGGTGGATGAGTTCCCCTGTTACAATATAAAGACCTTTTCAGCACTTGAAAAAGTACTTCTGTATAATGTATCTGATTCATCACCGTCATCCATTCAACATTAGCATACTGGTCATGCAGGTATTGTTAGCTCAGAGGCTGCATCCAAACGGCCCCCTTTTACTTATAAAGTTCCCATAGGGCTCTTGTAAAAAAAAGTAGGGAACAGGGTGACATTTGGGACGCAACCAGAATGTGAAGTATCTCTGGGTAACAGACAAATACATTCATCAAATATTTTCACATAGAGCTTGATTAGTTTGCCCGGTACAATGCAACCAATGGAATGAGCTACTATTCCAAGCTAAATCAAGGGCACCTGAAATACTATTAAAGTATTTGACTCATCAGGTGTGTGTTCAGTCAGGGATGTCTGATTTTTCCTGAACCTATTTAACACAATGACACTGCCTTGATCGTCACATGTTCTGCATCCCTCTCCCTGGTTGAGAGTTTCCAGAGGTGAACTCATTAGTCACCGACTGTAGCAAAACGTTTTGCAAGCGTTTACTCCTGTTTTACATTTATCCTGCAATAGAAAGGACCTACTACCTAGTAGTCAACAGTTGATGCAATAGAAAGGTTATATCCCTAGCAGACATATGAATAGAAAGGGACCTATCTACCCTATATCCACATCTGAGCAATAGAAGGGACTATCTATCCCTAAGCACAGTCTGATGCAATAGAAAGGGACTATCTATCCCCTAGCTAGTCAACAGTCTGATGCAATAGAAAGGGACCTATCTATCCCTACTAGTCCCGTGCTAGAAAGGTCTATGCCCCCTAGCAGAACAGTCTGATGCAATAGAAAGGTCCTATTTCCCCAGACACGTCTATGCAATAGAAGGGCTATCCCTAGCTAGTCAACAGTCTGATCAATGAAGGACTATCTATCCCTAGCAGTCAACAGGGACTGCCTCATGGCTAGGATCAAAGATTCCTGCTAGGCAAAGGTTTGAACATCCTACTTAAAATAATGTAGGACATGGTTGGTGGGGACTTAAAGAACAATCATGTCAAATTCGTTACTATGTTGTGATGTCATTAAAGACGGTGGAACAACATAACTGTATCTCTGGGGGGGGCTACACTTCCCAGTTATGAGGTTTGCATCTAATTGTTGTATGAAACGAATGATTAAGTATAATAATACTTTTGTGAAGATAACAATGTGATTTTAGCATTCTAGATGAGATGATTGTTTTCCATATTAATTTGTTCTCAGTCAGTGGCCACGCCCAGATGAGCACAAACATGATGGAACGCCCCTTTTACCCCGAGTGCATAAAAAGCCTTGTGACGAAATTCACCTCAGACCAGCAGACGTGAAGCGTGAGCCAAATGTTGAAAATTGTTGAATTTCTACCAGACCAGCAAGCCCCATGGCTTAAAATGGTTGAAACGCTACAGACCAGCAGACGTGAAGCGTGAGCCAAACATTGCAAATGGTTGAATTTCTACCAGACCAGTAAGCCCCACAATGGTTGACACTCTACAAGACCAAGAAGCGTGAAGCTGAAGCTACACGTTACAAAATGGTTAGACTAGAAAGACCAAAAAAAATCCTGAAGTATCCATTCTAACCAGCACTACGACCAGAAACTCTGCCAAGGACATTGGGATCTCTGGTGGGCAAACCAGAGTTCTACATCATCAACTCAACTATCGATGACAGCTACACGTAAATACATGTTGCATTTCTAATCCGAATGAGCGTTTAGTGGGGTTTTAAGCATTTGTATTTCTGTGAATGTAGTTTCCAAAGTAACCACGATAGTTTGAATCTCTGTCTCTCCCTTCCATTCTGACTCCTCCACTACCCAAGCAGTCATGCTATTGTTAGTCCAGTCCACTAGGGACCTGTTTTCATTGTATTACGTTAGTAATCAATAACCTGTGTGTGTGTGTTTGTATTGTGTTATTATTTAGTTAGTTAGTAAATAAATAATTAAGCCAATGTGTGTATTGCTGATTCATCAATAAGGTTAGGGTTCTTGCAGGTTCAAGGATTATGCGACGTTCAGAAAGAGACTGATAAGATGTAATTATTTAATAAGTGACTGTTATCGATATATAACATATCTAAGAGTTTAATTCGGGAGATGGTAATTTGTTAATCAACTTATTCCGTGCTGCCCCAAATTCCTAATGAGTTAATTGTTACATGATTAATTTAATCGAGTGACAATTAAACATAGGTGAATCGATAAATAACAGTCATACATTAAAGTAAGTAACGTCACGACAACAGTCAGATGAACATAGGCCTAGGGGCCTCACTTTTCAAATGTTCTTAGTTGTTATACTTCATTTCTGCATACTATAATTTCTTAAAATAGGAGGAAATTCTGTTTAAATACAATGTCTCCACAAATTAATAAAGCTGTGTTGGTCACAAATAAATAAATAAGCACATTTCATTTATAAATCACAAAACAAATGGCATACAAAATCTATGTAAATTGCATATTTTCATTTCAAGTTTAAGATTTATAAATTGCATTCGTCCCAAAGGGTCCTATTCCCTACGTCAGGGCTTCTTAAACCACTTCTCAGGGACCCCCAGACCTGACATAATGTTGCTGTAGCCCTGAACTAGCTCACCTGATTCAAGTAGTCAAGGGCTTGATGATTAGTTGACAAGTTGAATCGGGTGTGCTTGCCAGTGGTAGAAAAAGTACCCAATTATTATACTTGAGTAAAAGTAAAGATGCCTTAATAGAAAATCACCTCAAGTAAAAGTGAAAATCACCCAGTAAAATACTACTTGAGTAAAAGTGTTAAATTATTTGGTTTTAAATATACTTAGGTATCAAACGTAATATTAAGCAAACCAAACAGGACAATGTGTGTTTATTTTATTTACGGATAGCCAAGGGCACACTCCAACACTCAGATGTCATTTACAGATAGCCAAGGGCACACTCCAACACTCAGATGTCATTTACAAATGAAGCATTTGTGTTTAGTGAGTCCGCCAGATCAGACGCAGTAGGGATGACCAGGGATGTTCTCTTGGTAAATGTGTGAATTGGACAATTTTCTTGTCCTGCTAAGCATTCAAAATGTAACGAGTACTTTTGGGTCTCAGGGAAAATGTATGGAGTATAAAGTACATTATTTTCTTTAGGAATGTAGTGGAGTAAAAGTAAAAAGAGTCAAAAATATAAATAGTAAAGTAAAGTACAGATACCCCCAAAAAACGACTTAAGTAAAATCACTTTAAAGTACTATTTAAGTAGTTTACACCACTGGTGCTGCTGTGGAATAGATCAAATCAATGGAATGGCTGGTTGGAGAAACACTGCCCTACATACTGCACTACTTTTGACCAGAGCCCTACGGGCCTGAGGGGTTCACATCCAGGTGAGTGGTCTCTTGGTGATGTCCTGCTCTGTCAGGTAGTAGTTGAGGTATCCTCCCAGAGCGCTCACTGACACGCCTGTTATGTGACTGGCACAACCATCTGGAGGGAGGAGGGGGGAGGAGAAGATAGAACAGTAAAAGCTTATTGAAGCTGGTTTCTGTTTCTCTGTGTGTGTGTGTGTGTGTGCTGTTTTCTCTGTGTGTGTGTGTGTGTGTGTGTGTGTGTGTGTGCTATTTCTCTCTGTGTGATGTTTCTCTCTGTGTGTGTGTGTGTGTGTGTGCTGTTTCTCTGTGTGTGTGTGTGTGTGTGTGTGTGCTGTTTCTCTGTGTGTGTGTGTGTGTGTGTGTGCTGTTTCTCTGTGTGTGTGTGTGTGTGTGTGTGTGTGTGTGCTATTTCTCTCTGTGTGATGTTTCTCTCTGTGTGATGTTTCTCTCTGTGTGATGTTTCTCTCTGTGTGATGTTTCTCTCTGTGTGTTTGTATGCGTGCGTATGGGCATGCATAATGCCAGGGATATTCTTGACACACACCCTTCAACATTCTCTCTCTCCTCTTCACTCTTCTGTGGGGCTGTGTAAAACATCCCACTTCCTGGTCCTGCAGCCTCAGAATGTGCTGCAGCCAATCAACTTTGAGGAAGTCAGAGAAACCAGCCAATCCACACAGCATTACTTTGGACAGGGAGGAAGTTACAGAAAGTTAAACCATGATCTCATTTGAAACACTACAGCTTATAAAGGCTTTACGTGTTATGGTTTAAAAAAAAGCGCATCTATAGATTGAATTGTTTTCTAAAAGCAGAATCAGGTGTCATTTGAGACTGACTGTTTTCGATGAAGAGGTCCTGGGTCTCCCCGGTGAAGTCCTTCTGTATGATGTCCATGTTTCCCTTCAACATGTTGGAGCAGAATATCCTCTGGTACTGTCTCTCTGTTAGGTTAGCATGCGACGTACGCATGTCCCCTTTCAACATGGCAGAACAACCTCTCTGGAGGAGGGGGGCAGGGAGGCAGGGAAGGAGGAAGAGAGAGAGAGAGGGAGGAGGGGGTTAGGGAGGGAGGGAAAATTGGAGAAGACAGGAGTGGAGCATAGAAAGTTGTGTGGGTGTGGTCTCACATTGGCTCCCACCATGAAGTAAAGCAGCTGGTGAGAGAGGGAGTAGTAAGGACATCCAAACCTCGTCATGGTGTCACGACACGACTTGGTCACGATGCAAGGAGTCCCGTTGTTCTTCCTGACAAACCATTACACACACATATATAACATGCATGCACGCGCACACACGAACAGGCACGTACACACACACACAGGCACGTACACACACAGGCACGTACACACACAGGCACGTACATACACACACAGGCACGTACACACACACACAGGCACGTACACACACACACAGACACGTACACACACACACAGGCACGTACACACACACACAGACACGTACACACACACACAGGCACGTACACACACAGGCACGTACACACACACAGGCACGCACACATACACACACACACAGGCACATACACACACACACACACACAGGCACACACACACATATATAAATGTATTAGCAAACTGGCCAACGGAAGCTGTAGGCCTTCTAGGGTTGTATGACACTCCTACTACCACATTGAAATAAATGAGATTTAGTGAGGCATTACTGCTCAAAAGCGTGGTGTGTGTGCTTACCACGTTCCCAGTAGCAAGGTCATACACTTGTCGCTCTGTGTCTCATCGTAACACTCCATGGTGCGGACAGAGGAATAGACCAGAGAGGGATCTGTGGAGCTCCACTCATGAGGTACCGACCAGAAGGTCCAGGTCAACAGAGGCTCAAACTCTACAGGAGAGAGAGAGAGAGAGAGACCCTACTAGAATCTGATGTCAAATGTCTACTGTTTGCTGATGATCTGGTGCTTCTGTCCCCAACCAAGGAGGGCCTACAGCAGCACCTAGATCTTCTGCACAGATTCTGTCAACCTGGGCCCTGACAGTAAATCTCAGTAAGACAAAAATAATGGTGTTCCAAAAAAGGTCCAGTTGCAAGGACCACAAATACAAATTCCATCTAGACACCGTTGCCCTAGAGCACACAAAAAACGATACATACCTCGGCCTAAACATCAGCGCCACAGGTAACTTCCACAAAGCTGTGAACAATCTGAGAGACAAGGCAAGAAGGGCCTTCTATGCCATCAAAAGGAACATAAAATTCGACACACAGTGCCTTGAGACTAAAAGACTAAAAATGTATCTCAGGTGCATCCTGTTTCCATTGATTATCCTTGAGATGTTTCTACAACTTGATTGGAGTCCACCTGTGGTAAATTCAATAGATTGGACATGATTTGGAAAGGTACACACCTGTCTATATAAGGTCCCACAGTTGACAGTGCATGTCAGAGCAAAAACCAAGCCATGAGGTTGAAGGAATTGTCCGTAGAGCTCCGAGACAGGATTGTGTCGAAGCACAAATCTGGGGAAGGGTACCAAAAAATGTCTGCAGCATTGAAGATCCCCAAGAACACAGTGGCCTCCATCATTCTTAAATGGAAGAAGTTTGGAATCACCAAGACTCTTCCTAGAGCTGGTCGCCCGGACAAACTGAGCAATCGGGGGAGAAGGGCCTTGTGACCAAGAACCCGAAGGTGACTCTGACAGAGCTCTAGACTTCCTCTATGGAGATGGGAGAATCTTCCAGAAGGACAACCATCTCTGAAGCACTCCACCAATCAGGCCTTTATGGTAGAGTGGCCAGACGGAAGCCACTCCTCAGTAAAAGGCACATGACAGCCCGCTTGGAGTTTGCCAAAAGGCACCTAAAGACTCTCAGACTATGAGAAACAACATTCTCTGGTCTGATGAAACTCTTTGGCATGAATTCCAAGCATCACGTCTGGAGGAAACCTGGCACCATCCCTACGGTGAAGCATGGTGGTGGAAGCATCATGCTGTGGGGATGTTTTTCAGCGGCAGGGACTGGGAGACTAGTCAGGATCGAGGCAAAGATGAACTGAGCAAAGTACAGAGAGGTCCTTGATGAAAACCTGCTCCAGAGTGCTCACTACTTCAGACTGGGGCGAAGGTTCACCTTCCAACAGGACAACGATCCTAAGCACACAGCCAAGACAATGCAGGAGTGGCTTCGGGACAAGTCTCGGAATGTCCTTGAGTGGCCCAGCCAGAGCCCGGACTTGAACCCAATCGAACATCTCTGGAGAGACCTGAAAATAGCTGTGCAGCAACACTCCCCATCCAAGGGCATATTTATATAATGAATATGAATTCGGAGGACAGAAATTATTAAATATGAAAGCATTAGACCTATCACTAAAAGCTTCAGTCATACAAAAGTTATACTTAAATCCAAACTGGTTCTCAACCAAATTAGTAAGATTGTCTCACCCAATGTTCAAGAAAGGCCTTTTTCCCTTTATTCAGATTACAACCACTCATTTTCAGTTATTTGAAAAGGAAATCATCTCCCAAATATCACTATTTCTAAAACAAGCAATAGAAAGTTGGTTGCAATTTCAATTTAATCCTCCAGAAACGACAGAACAAATAATGCAACAAATATTGTGGTTAAATTCAAATATACTAATTGACAAAAAACCTTTATTTTTTGACAGAATGTTTAAAAAAGGTATAATCTTCGTAAATGATATCATCGGTAGGACTGGTGGAGTTATGTCGCACATGCAGCTAACAAAAACATATGGAAATGTCTGCTCTACCCAAAATTACAACCAAATAATTGCAGCCTTACCGCAAAAGTGGAAGAGGAAAGTGGAAGGGGGAGAAATTAAGGAACTTGTCTGTCGGCCTTGCATTAAAGAACATAATTGGTTAAAGAAAACTGTGATAAATAAAAAAGTATACCAGTTTCATTTAAGGACCAAAGGATTGACAGCCGTCCCATATAGATTGCAAAATAGTTGGGAAGAGATTTTTGACGTACCGAACCCATGGCATAGTGTTTATGAACTGACACGCAAAACAACTCCGGATTCAAAAATTAGAATCTTTCAATTTAAATTATTATTTAAAAAAAATATATATATATATATATATATATATATATATATATATATATATATATATATATATATATATATATATATATATATAATATATATATATAATAGAATTATTGTAAAATTGACTGTGTCCATAAGGGGTAGATAGTAAGTATAGGCTGGAAGTAGAGGCCTAAGCATTGTTGTTCACTAATTTACTCCAAGTAGGGAAAGGATGGCGGGGTTGAAAAGTAATAAAGGGGAGTATATATATAAAAAACATGGGGGATTGGAAGTGATGCAGACAATTACATTGATAGAAGTTACAATCTATCTGCAATATGAAGCTGATCCATCCCCCCCAAAAAATAAAAAATAATAAAAATAAAAAAACACTCCCCATCCAACCTGACAGACCTTGAGAGGATCTGCAGAGAAGAATGGGAGAAACTCCCCAAATACAGGTGTGCCAAGCTTGTAGCGTCATACCCAAGAAGACTCGAGGCTGTAATCGCTGTCAAAGGTGCTTCAACAAAGTACTGAGTAAAGGGTCTGAATACTTATGTAAATGTGATATTTCTGTTTTTTATTTTTAATAAATTAGCTAACATTTCTAAAAACCTGTTTTTGCTTTGTCATTATGGGGTATTGTGTGTAGACTGATGACGAAAAATATATATTTAATCAATTTCAGAATAAGGCTGTAACATAACAAAATGTGGAAAAAGTCAAAGGGTCAGAATACTTTCCGAAGGCACTGTACCAATTTAGGATCTGGCATAAAATACTTGAATCAGTTATAGAATCCATTGCCCTTTATGGTTGTGAGGTCTGGGGTCCGCTCACCAACCAATAATTCACTAAATGGGACAAACACCAAATTGAGACTACATGCAGAATTCTGCAAAAATATCCTCCGTGTGCAACGTAAAACATTTAGGCCGATACCCGCTAATGATCAAAATCCAGAAAAGAGCTGTTAAATTCTATAACCACTTAAAAGGAAGTGATTCCCAAACCTTCCATAACAAAGCCATCACCTACAGAGAGATGAACCTGGAGAAGTCCCTCCCCTAAGCAAGCTGGTCCTGGGGCTCTGTTCACAAACACAAACAGACCTCACAGAGCCCCAGGACAGCAACACAATTAGAACCAACCAAATCATGAGAAAACAAAAAGATAATTACTTGACACATTGGAAATAATTAACAAAAAAACTAAGCAAACTAGAATGCTATTTACACAGTGGCAGAATACCTGACCACTGTGACTGACGCAAAATTAAGGAAAGCTTTGACTATGTACAGACTCAGTGAGCATAGCCTTGCTATTGAGAAAGGCCGCCGTAGGCAGACCTGGCTCTCAAGAGAAGACAGGCTATGTGCACACTACCCACAAAATGAGGTGGAAACTGAGCTGCACGTCCTAACCTGCCAAATGTATGACCATATTTGAGACACATATTTCCCTCAGATTACACAGACCCACAAAGAATTTGAAAACATATCCAACTTTGATAAACTCACATATCTATTGGGTGAAATACCACAGTGTGCCATCACAGCAGCAAGATGTGTAACCTGTTGCCACAAGAAAAGGGCAACCAGTGAAGAACAAACACCATTGTAAATTCAACCCATATTTATGTTTATGTATTTTCCCTTTTGTACTTTAACTATTTGCACATCGTTACAACACTGTATTTAGACATAATATGCCACTTGAAATGTCTTTATTCTTTTGGAACTGTTGTGAGTGTAATGTTTACTGTAAATGTTTTAATTGTTTAGTTCACTTTTGTGTATTATCCATTTCACTTGCTTTGGCAATGTTAACATATGTTTCCCATGCCAATAAAGCCCCTTGAATTGAATTGAATTGAATTGAATTGAATTGAATTGAAATGAGAGAGAGAGAGAGGTGTAGTAGTATTTACCTCTGTAGTATTTGGGGTCAGTCTTCTCCAGCTCAGTGACAGCCTTGGCCAGGCTCTGGTCCAACCTCTTGACCAGGGTAACCGTAGCGGTGCGCTGAGACCAGCTCACAGGGTCAGTGTGCGGCCAAGTTCTTACTGCTTCCTTCAACTCCGCTGTTGCCCGGACAACAAGGACATGGAAAGAGATGTTTTCAAAGACATTTGTAATCCTAAATGGCTTCTTAAAAATTATTACGTCATATTTGCCTCTTTCTATCTGCAATGTTGACACACCCACAAGAACAATAACAAACCTCGATAAACCATAAAGGTTTGTATTCCATATCGACAAATCACATATTCTACTGTTTTATTTCAATCAGACAGCCTGGAAAAACTGCCTTGTTATGCGGGACACCGCAATAGCGGAACCGGAGGCAATTGGTGCATTCTGACTTGCTGAGCCAGCACCAGCCTAACACAACAGCCACATAGATAGACTACAATTTAATGTCCAGACATGCATAAAAATAATAAAAAAAATTCCTCGACATGTATTTACTCAGATATTTGGGTTGTCTATTCCGTTGGACCTGAAGAAGATCCTTGTGGATCGAAACGTTGTCACGGTAATTGGGAGGATATATGCTACACAGTGCATGCTACAGTGTGCAGGCCTTTCTGTTATTCTCTTTCCATAGAGAATGATCCTACTGGCAGTGATATGAATGACGCTAATATACTACTCACCCTGCAGGAGGATGTACCCGACCACTCCGTCTAGGTTGATGTTGCGGTGCTCCTGCTCCAGGAACGATGTGCTTTTGGCGAGGCTGGCTAGAATCACATCAATGACCTCCTCATGCGCTGCAGTTGTGATGGAGAAAACCAGGACAAAGAACAGGACCACTACAAACCTAGCCATGTTCTGATATAGGCTACTACAAGTCTAAACCCCAAACGGTTGACGCAGCGCATATATCTGAAGGACGTGGACGCACTTTTCCCTCAAACTGGTATGGGAATTGGAAAGTGCGTGAGTGAGCGCACCGCGGGTTGTTTGGCGAAAACTGGCTGTCACGTGGATCGATCGCGTGAGAAGCTGGGAATTCCATTTTATTTAATTAGGCTAATACAATGTGTGGTAGTTGCATTTCGTTCATATGGAAAGAGAGAGAGAGAGAGAGAGAGAGAGAGAGAGAGAGAGAGAGGGCGAGAGATAGCGAGGATAGAAGAGAGAGAGAGAGGGGAGAGAGGGAGCGAGAAGCGAGAGAGAGAGAAGAGAGAGATATATATATCGAGATCTAGCGATAGATACTAGCGCTTCACTTTCTATTTAGAGCTATAATCGAGAGATGAGCTCAGCATATCTATCTAGATATCTAGTAGAGGGGAGAGACAGAGCACTATATCTCCTATCTCATCCTCAGATCGCGAGAGCTCTCTTTTTTGTGAGAACACGCTCTCGCTACTCTCGGATACTCTCTCTTGTCTTTCCGCTCTCTCTCTCTCGTTTCTCTCTCCTCTCTCCTCTCTTCCCCTTCTCTCTCTCTCTCTTCTCTCTTCTTTCTCTCTCTCCCCTCTCTCTCTCTCTCTTCTTCTCTCTTTTTTTTTTTTCTCTCCTCCCCTCTCTCTCTACTCTCCTCTCTCTCTCTCTCTCTCCTCTCTTCTCTCTCTCTCTCTCTCTCTCTCTCTCTCTCTCTCTCTCCTTCTCCTCTCTTTCTCCCTCTCCCTCTCGCTCTTTTTCTCTCTTCTCTCTCCCTCTCTCTCTCTCTCTCTCTCTCTCTCTCTCTCTCTCTCTCTCCTCTCTCCCCTTTCTCTCTTCCTCTCTCTCTCTTTCTTCTTCTCCTCGCTTCTCTCTCTCCTCTCTTCTCCTCTCTCTCTCTTTCCCTTCTCTCTCTTTCTTTCTCTCCCCTCTCTCTCTCTCCTCCTCTCTCCTCTTCCTTTCCCTTCGCTCTCTCTCTCTCTCTTCTCTCAGATCTAGCTTCTTCATTCCAGAGTCCTTTTGGTAGACCCTCATCAGACGTGTTGGATCCAATTAATGTTTTTATAAATCTCATCATTTTTGATGACAGAGTAGAGGGGTGCATGCATTCATAACATAAGCCAAGACAGTTATTTTGGCCAATTTATAGCCTTGCCTGCAACAAGAAACCAGATAGGGGAAATGGATATAATGTCTATGGGTTATAGCTACATGTAGTTACAGTCATATAATGACATAGTACCGGTAGTTTAATATAATCTCTGTAGTTACAGTCATATAATGACATAGTACCGGTAGTTTAATAGAATCTCTGTAGTTACAGTCATATAATTACATAGTACCGGTAGTTTAATAGAATCTCTGTGGTTACAGCAATTAATCATCACATGTAGGCTACACTCTTAGAAAAAAGGTATTCAAACGGGTTCTTCGACTGTCCCCAATAGGAGAACCCTTTTTGGTTCCAGGTAGAACTCTTTTTGGTTCCAGGTAGAACTATTTTGGGTTCTACATGGAACCCAGTAGGGTTCTACCTGGAAACAAAACAGTTCTTCAAAGGGTTCTCCTATGGGGACAGCTGAAGAAGCCCTTTTGGTTCTATACAGCACATTTAATTCTAAGAGTGAACATTGTAACATTGTTGCATCAATCTGTGTCCGGTGGTCAGGTCCAGTCACTCTAACAAACAGGAGCGTATTCATTAAGCCGATTCTATTGCAAACGTTTATTTTTTTTGTTAATGATTTTATTTCGTTTTCCTACAATTAAATATACATAGATTTACATTTTTGTCATTTAGCAGACGCTCTTATCCAGAGCGACTTACAGTTAGTGAATACATATTTTTTTATACTGGCATTGCAAACACCATGCTCTATCAACTGAGCTACATCCCTGCCGGCAATTCCCTCCCCTACACCGGACGACGCTGGGCCAATTGTGCGCCGCACAATCCAGGCTCTGTCGCGGCCGGCTGCGACAGAGCCTGGATTCGAACCAGGATCTAGTGGCACAGTTAGCACTGCGATGCAGTGCCTTAGACCACTGCGCCACTCAGGAGTAGATCCAGAAGACTCGACATGACTAGGCAAGGACTTATTGCACAACAGTCAAAACAGAAAAAGATTAGAAAAGGAATTTAAAAAAAACTGGACAAACATTAATGACACCACACTTGCTTAGACCCACATGTTGCCACCCTGTCACTACTTATCCATATTTGTTCAACATTTTATTTATGTATTATATTGTTTCTTATTTATTCTCATAATCAATAGCCATTGGTTTCATCCATTGGTTGTTTCCAATGTTTGCAAGCTTCTGTCCAATATGGCTTCAGATTGTGTTATGTTTTTTCTATCTGTAGCCAGATTTTTTCAATATTTAAATAATAAAGTATTTGATTCTTCCATTCACTTAAAGTTGGAATATCATTTGATTTCCAGTATTTAAGTAATAGCTTCTTCAATATGTACACATTGTTCCTCTTTGCATTTAACTATAGAATTGTACCAGTCAGAGTTTTTTTACAAGTTCCAAGTTGTCTTGAACACACTGAAGTCGGAAATCGGAGATTCCCAGTTCCGAGTTCCCAGTTGTTTTGAAGGCGGCACTAGTCGCAGAATGTAAAATAAAATTATATGGGAAAACATTTATTAAATGGAAGCAAACGGAACAAAACGGGGAGCGACGTAGCTGAATTGATCCAATAGAGACTCGTTTTAGTTGAATTTTTTTTGGGGACTAATGAGTACACCCAAGGTGCACGGGCCCTTTAAATCTCAGTCGACCCCCCCGTCCCCCGTCCGTCCGTCCGTCACAATGAGGCACGTCATCAGTCACAACAAACATGGCGGATGCCTGTGCTTCCACGACTCTAGCGACAGTTTCACTGATATGTTTTGCATTACTGGCAGGGTTTTACTTGACCAGTTTAAATGCACTATGGACACTGGTCTCCGTTACTGTTACTCTCGTGTTGGGGTCCCAGTTACTGCGGCAGTTACGGAGAAGAGATGCGTTGACGGAGCGGCGTGTATGTGTGCTGGTACTGGGGGATATCGGACGCAGCCCTCGCATGCAGTACCATGCCCTTTCGCTCAGCAAACACGGCTACAGCGTGACGTTTGTTGGATTCCCTGGTAAATGAATAGATTGATTGTGTTATATTTAAGCAATAAGACACGAGGAGGTGTGGTATATGGCCATTATACCACGGCTAAGGGCTGTTCTCATGCACGAGGCATCGCGGAGTGCCAGGACACAGCTCTTAGCCGTGGTATATTGGCCATATACCACAAACCCCCGAGGTGCCTTATTGCTATTATAAACTGGTTACCAACACAATTAGAGCAGTAAACATAAATGGTTTGTCATACCCGTGGTATACGGTGTGTTGTACCACGGCTGTCAGCCAATCAGCATTCAGGGCTAGAACCACCCAGTTTATAAGTACAAATAAACATGGCTCTATACTTTCATCTGTGGCCTCCCTGCAAGCCTGGTCCCAGATCTGTTGTCTCCTTCTATAGTCTGGTCCCAGATCTGTTGTCTCCTTCTATAGCCTGGTCCCAGATCTGTTGTCTCCTTCTATAGCCTGGTCCCAGATCTGTTTGTGCTCTTGCCAACTCTAGTTCTTCTGACTATTCTTCTGAACTGTGATTATTGTCAGGTACCAAGCCTCATCAGGATGTGATTGGAGATGAGAGGATCACGATCATCCCAATCGCAGAAGTTAAAGGACTCCAAGGTACTGGAACTGATCTGGGACTGAGTTTACAGCATTTACCATTACCGTATATTAATTTATGCCATATTACCATATTTATGCCATATTACCAAATATTTATTTATGCAATATTACCATATACACTACCGGTCAAAAGTTTTAGATCACCTACTCATTGAAGAGTTTTTTTTCTTTATTTTTACTATTTTCTACGTTGTAGAATAATAGTGAAGACATAAAAACTCTGAAATAACACATATGGAATCATGTAGTAGCCAAAAAAGTGTTAAACAAATTAAAATATATTTTATATTTGAGATTCTTCAAATAGGTACCCTTTACCTTGATGACAGCTTTGCACACTCTTGGCATTCTCTCAACCAGCTTCACCTGGAATGCTTTTCCAACATTCTTGAAGGAGTTCCCACATATGCTGAGCACTTGTTGGCTGCTTTTCCATCTCAATTTTGTTGAGGTCGGGGGATTGTGGATGCCAGGTCATCTGATGCAGCACTCCATCACTCTCCTTCTTGGTCAAATAGCCCTTACACAGCCTGGAGGTGTGTTGGGTCATTGTCCTGTTGAAAAACAAATGATTGTCCCACTAAGCCCAAACCAGATGGGATGAAGTATCGCTGAAGAATGCTGTGGTAGCCATGCTGGCTAAGTGTGCCTTGAATTCTAAATAAATCACAGACAGTGTCACCAGTAAAGCACCCCCACACCATAACACCTCCTCCTCCATGCTTTATGGTGGGAAATACACATGCGGAGATCATCCGTTCACCCACACGTCTCACAAAGACACGGCGGTTGGAACCAAAAATCTCAAATTTGGACTCCAGACCAAAGGACACATTTCCACCAGTCTAATGTCCATTGCTCGTGTTTCTTGGCCCAAGCAAGTCTCTTCTTCTTATTGATGTCCTTTAGTAGTGGTTTCTTTGCAGCAATTTGACCATGAAGGCCTGATTCACGCAGTCTCCTCTGAACAGTTGATGTTGAGATGTGTCTGTTACTTGAACTCTGTGAAGCATTTATTTGGGCTGCAATTTCTAAGGCTGGTAACTCTAATGAACGTATCCTCTGCAGCAGAGGTAACACTTGATATTCCATTCCTGTGTCGGTCCTCATGAGAGCCAGTTTCATCATAGCGCTTGATGGTTTTTCGACTGCACTTGAAGAAACTTTAAAAGTTATTGAAATGTTCCGTATTGACTGACCTTCATGTCTTAAAGTAATGATGGACTGTCATCTCGCTTAGCTTATTTGAGCTGTTCTTACCATAATATGAACTTGGTCTTTTACCAAATAGGGTTATCTTCTGTATACCCCCCCTACCTTGTCACAACACAACTGATTGGCTCAAACGCATTAAGAAGGAAAGAAATTCCACAAATTAACTTTTAAGAAGGCACACCTGTTAATTGAAATGTATTCCAGGTGACTACCTCATGAAATTGGTTGAGAGAAATCCTCTGTAGCTCAGCTGGTAGAGCACGGCGCTTGTAACGCCAAGGTAGTGGGTTCGATCCCCGGGACCACCCATACACAAAAATGTATGCACGCATGACTGTAAGTCGCTTTGGATAAAAGCGTCTGCTAAATGGCATATTATTATTATTATTATTATTATTATTATAATAAGAGTGTGCAAAGCTGTCATCAAGGCAAAGGGTGGCTATTTGATGAATCTCAAATATAAAATATATTTAGATTTGTTTATCACTTTTTTGGTTACTTCATGATTCCAAATGTGTTATTTCATAGTTTTGATGTCTTCACTATTATTCTACAATGTAGAACATAGTAAAAATAAAGAGAAACGCTGGAATGAGTAGGTGTTCTAAAACTTTTGACTGGTACTGTATATTATGGGCAGGATAGACTCTAACAATGAGAATTACTAATCACCCGTTGTATAATTTAATGTTGGGCCCCGTGTAGTTCAGTTGGTAGAGCATGGCGCTTGCAACGCCAGGGTTGTGGGTTCGATTCCCACAGGGGGCCAGTATGAACAAAAAAAAATGTATGCACTCACTAACTGTAAGTCGCTCTGGATAAGAGCGTCTGCTAAATGACTAACATTTTTTTTTAAATAACAGTAGTTAGGTCTTGAGTCTATCCCATAATATAGCCCAGGTCTGTTTCTGAGTGGCCACTACCAGAGCACTGAGACATACTAAAAATCCATCTGTCTGTCTGTTTCCAGTGGGTCCTAGGATGGTGAGCTATGTTACCAAGGTGATTCTCCAGTCCCTGCAGCTTCTCCTGGTGTTGTTGAAGACTGACGTCCAGTCCCATATTCTCATGCAGGTATTTCTACTACAATACAATAAACATGCTGTAAACGTTCATAATTATTGACTGGAATAACTTGCAGAACAACCTGTGAACTTTCATTTATTCTATTCTGTTTTATTCGGTTCTATAACCTGTTATGTCATGAGACGTCTACAGATACTGCTGTGATTTCCCCCCCCAAAACAACTGGTAGAATGCTGTTTATGTGCCTTGCTTTAGTAAAGGTTGAATTTAATGTTGGTTTTAATAGTGTTTATTAAGGACCTGACCTGACATTATATTCTATAAATTCTGTTCTATTCCGTTCTATCCTACTTATTTATATTATATTATATTTTTATTCTTATTCTATTCTGTTCAGTTGTACTTGCCTCCTCCCCCAGAACCCTCCAGGACTGCTCAGTATAGTGTTGACATGGCTGGTGTGTTATTGACCTCCTCCCCCAGAACCCTCCAGGACTGCCCGGTATAGTGGTGACATGGCTGGTGTGTGGTCTGAGAGGAACCAGGTTCATCATTGACTGGCACAACTACGGCTACACCATCATGGGCCTCTCACACGGCCCCGACCACCCCATCGTCAGGCTGGCACAGTGGTCAGTAACGTCACCATGGCTGAGTCCCAAATGGATCCCTGTTCCCTATAATCAGTTCATTCGGAATGTATTCAGTCCCCATCCCTTTTTCCAAATTTTGTTACATTACAGCCTTATTCTAAAATGGATAAAATAAAACATTTTCTTCATCAATCTACCCACAATACCCCATAATGACAAAGCAAAAACAGTTTTTTTTAAAAAATTTTTTGCAAATGTATAAAACAAAAAAAAACTCTCCCGAGTGGCGCAGTGGTCTAAGGCTGTGCCACTAGAGATCCTGGTTCGAATCCAGGCTCTGTCGTAGCCGGCTGCGACCAGGAGACCCATGCGACGGCGCACAATTGGCCCAGCGTCGTCCAGGGTAGGGGAGGGAATGGCCGGCAGGGATGTAGCTCGGTTGGTGGAGCGTGGCGTTTGCAACGCCAGGGTTGTGGGTTCGATTCCCACGGGGGGCCAGTATGAAAAAAAAATATATAAAATAAATAAATAATGAATGCACTCACTAACTGTAAGTCGCTCTGGATAAGAGCGTCTGCTAAATGACTAAAATGTAAATGTAAAATGTACATAAGTATTCAGACCCTTTGCTATGAAAAATTGAGCTCAGGTGCATCCTGTTTCCATTATTCATCCTTGAGATGTTTCTACAACTTGATTGGAGTCCACCTGTGCTAAATTTAATTGAATGGACATGATTTGGAAAGGCACACACCTGTCTATATAAGGTCCCACAGTTGACAGTGCATGTCAGAGCAAAAACCAAGCCATGAGGTTGAAGGAATTGTCCGTAGAGCTCAGAGGCAGGATTGTGTTGAGGCACAGATCTAGGGAAGGGTACCAAAAAATGTCTGCAGCATTGAAGGTCCCTAAGAACACAGTAGCCTCCATCATTCTTAAATGGAAGACGTTTGGAACCACCAAGACTCTTCCTAGAGCTGTCTGCCCGGCCAAACTGAGCAATCGGGGGAGAAGGGCCTTGGTCAGGGAGGTGACCAAGAACCCGATGGTCACTCTGAGCTCCAGAGTTCCTCTGTGGAGATGCGAGAACCTTCCAGAAGAACAAACATCTCTGCAGCACTCCACCAATCAGGCCAGACGGAAGCCACTCCTCAGTAAAAGGCACATGACACCCGCTTGGAGTTTGCCAAAAGGAACCTAAAGACTCTCAGACCATGAGAAACAACATTTCCTGTCTGATGAAACCAAGATTCAACTTTTTGGCCTGAATGCCAAGCGTCACGTCTGGAAGAAACCAGGCACCATCCCTACGGTGAAGCATGGTGGTGGCAGCATCATGCTGTGGGGATGCAGCGGCAGGGACTGGGAGACTAGTCAGGATCGAGGGAAAGATGAACGGAGCAAAGTACAGAGAGATCCTTGATGAAAACCTGCTCCAGAGCGCTCAGGACCACCTTCCAACAGGACAACGATCCTAAGCACACAGCCAAGACAATGCAGGAGTGGCTTTGGGACAAGTCTCTGAATGTCCTTGAGTGGCCCAGCCAGAGTCCGGACTTGAACCTGATCGAACATCTCTGGAAAGACCTGAAAATAGCTGTGCAGTGACACTCCCCATCCAACCTGACAGAGTTTGAGAGGATCTGCAGAGAAGAATGGTAGAAACTCCCCAAATACAGGTGTGCCAAGCTTGTAGCGTCATACCCAATAATACCTGAGGCTGTAATCGCTGCCAAAGGTGCTTCAACAAAGTACTGAGTAAAGGGTCTGAATACTTATGTAAATGTGATATTTCAGTTTTATTTTATTTTATACATTTGCAAAAATGTCTACAATACTGTCCATCAAGAAACGCTTGATCTTGTCCCCTGTCCTGTCTACGACCCATGTTCTTGTCCCCTGCCCTGTCTACGACCCATGTTATTGTCCCCTGTCCTGTCTACGACCCATGTTCTTGTCCCCTGCCCTGTCTACGACCCATGTTCTTGTCCCCTGCCCTGTCTACGACCCATGTTCTTGTCCCCTGTCCTGTCTACGACCCATGTTCTTGTCCCCTGCCCTGTATACGACCCATGTTATTGTCCCCTGCCCTGTCTACGACCCATGTTCTTGCTCCTTGCCTTGTCTCTGGCAGGTATGAGCGTTTGTTTGGGCGATTCTCCAGCCATAACCTTTGTGTCACCAACGCTATGAAGGAAGACCTTCAGAACAACTGGAACATCAAGTAAGGACTGTTTTACATTCAACATCAGTCTGTCAATCCATCCATCCATCCATCCATCCGTAGATAGATGGATAGATAGACGTACAGACGGACGGACAGACGGACGGACGGACGGACGGACGGACAGACAGATAGATGCAAAGTGGGGAGTCTGAATCTATCCCTGTCATCCTCATCGGTTCCCCTTGGCTATATACCTAGTTGGCTATATACCTAGTTAGCCATAACTAAACCCTTGATGTTAACATGTCTTAAGGGTCTGGACAGGTATCAGCAGTGTAGTGGCAAACCTTCTGCCGTATTGCTTCCACTTTACATATCTGGGTTAGGACCAAGGGGAGGGTGGGCGATGGACTTGGGACATGACAGGATGTGGAGACATACCTACAGACATGACAGGATGTGGAGACATGCCTACAGACATGACAGGATGTGGAGACATACCTACAGACATGACAGGATGTGGAGACATACCTACAGACATGACAGGATGTGGAGACATGCCTACAGACATGACAGGATGTGGAGACATACCTACAGACATGACAGGATGTGGAGACATACCTACAGACATGACAGGATGTGGAGACATACCTACAGACATGACAGGATGTGGAGACATATCTACATGACATGACAGGATGTGGAGACATACCTACATGACATGACAGGATGTGGAGACATATCTACATGACATGACAGGATGTGGAGACATACCTACAGACATGACAGGATGTGGAGACATACCTACAGACATGACAGGATGTGGAGACATACCTACAGACATGACAGGATGTGGAGACATACCTACAGACATGACAGGATGTGGAGACATACCTACAGACATGACAGGATGTGGAGACATACCTACAGACATGACAGGATGTGGAGACATGCCTACAGACATGACAGGATGTGGAGACATGCCTACAGACATGACAGGATGTGGAGACATACCTACAGACATGACAGGATGTGGAGACATACCTACAGACATGACAGGATGTGGAGACATATCTACATGACATGACAGGATGTGGAGACATACCTACATGACATGACAGGATGTGGAGACATATCTACATGACATGACAGGATGTGGAGACATATCTACATGACATGACAGGATGTGGAGACATACCTACAGACATGACAGGATGTGGAGACATACCTACAGACATGACAGGATGTGGAGACATACCTACAGACATGACAGGATGTGGAGACATACCTACAGACATGACAGGATGTGGAGACATACCTACAGACATGACAGGATGTGGAGACATACCTACAGACATGACAGGATGTGGAGACATACCTACAGACATGACAGGATGTGGAGACATACCTACAGACATGACAGGATGTGGAGACATACCTACAGACATGACAGGATGTGGAGACATACCTACAGACATGACAGGATGTGGAGACATACCTACAGACATGACAGGATGTGGAGACATATCTACATGACATGACAGGATGTGGAGACATACCTACATGACATGACAGGATGTGGAGACATACCTACAGACATGACAGGATGTGGAGACATATCTACATGACATGACAGGATGTGGAGACATATCTACATGACATGACAGGATGTGGAGACATACCTACAGACATGACAGGATGTGGAGACATCTACATGACACGACAGGATGTGGAGACATACCTACAGACATGACAGGATGTGGAGACATACCTACAGACATGACAGGATGTGGAGACATACCTACAGACATGACAGGATGTGGAGACATACCTACAGACATGACAGGATGTGGAGACATACCTACAGACATGACAGGATGTGGAGACATACCTACATGACAATGGTTTCCTATCCAAGATCAAACTATTGTCTGTCTATAGCTATCTTGTCTGTAAGTAGTATTGGTCTTTCCCAGATGATTGATTTTACAGGCAACAGAAAGAGAAGATAGTTGACTACTATTGTCATGACTTATTGTCTTATTCTCCCCCTATAGGGCGACCACATTGTATGACAAGCCACCTGCTATCTTCAAGGAGACTCCAGTGGATCTACAGCACCAGCTGTTCATGAGGCTGGCCAAGACTAACCCTCAGTTCCAGGTCTGGTGAGTCTAGTGTAGTCTGTTGATGAGGCTGGCCAAGACATAGATAACTAAAGTTATCCTCTTGGTTCCTGGAGGAACATAGGGCCTGTACTAAAGTTATCCTCTTGGTTCCTGGAGGAACATAGGGCCTGTACTAAAGTTATCCTCTCGGTTCCTGGAGGAACATAGGGCCTGTACTAAAGTTATCCTCTTGGATCCTGGAGGAACATAGGGCCTGTACTAAAGTTATCCTCTTGGTTCCTGGAGGAACATAGGGCCTGTACTAAAGTTATCCTCTTGGTTCCTGGAGGAACATAGGGCCTGTACTAAAGTTATCCTCTTGGTTCCTGGAGGACCATAGGGCCTGTACTAAAGTTATCCTCTTGGTTCCTGGAGGAACATAGGGCCTGTACTAAAGTTATCCTCTTGGTTCCTGGAGGAACATAGGGCCTGTACTAAAGTTATCCTCTTGGTTCCTGGAGGAACATAGGGCCTGTACTAAAGTTATCCTCTCGGTTCCTGGAGTAACATAGGGCCTGTACTAAAGTTATCCTCTTGGTTCCTGGAGGAACATAGGGCCTGTACTAAAGTTATCCTCTTGGTTCCTGGAGGAACATAGGGCCTGTACTAAAGTTATCCTCTTGGTTCCTGGAGGAACATAGGGCCTGTACTAAAGTGATCCTCTCGGTTCCTGGAGGAACATAGGGCCTGTACTAAAGTGATCCAACATTGCCGGTCTTGGGCTGCTTTCTTTGCCTTTTGACAGTATAAGGAGCAGTTATTATAATGTTATTACACTATCAAATACATTTAACAGACATGTAATAACACATTTCATAACCGCTGTGTATCTGTTACATTGGAGAGAGAAAGAACTATCATAAAAATATATATTACACTATCATAGACATGTCATAACACGTTATAACACAGGTTATATAACCACTGTGTGTCTGTTACAGTGGTGAGCCCCCTGGTGGTGAGACAGAGAGGACAGTGTTTACAGGTCGTGACCCAAGTGACCTTTCTGTGACCTTGACCTCTGGTCGACCTGCCCTACTGATCAGCAGCACCAGCTGGACCGGTCAGTACCCTACAGACAGAGGGTTCGTCCCAAATGGCACCCTATAGGCTCTGGTCAAAAGTAGTGCACTTTATATAGGGAATAGGGTGCAATTTCAGAAGCACCAGGAGACTCTGCATTTTGTCAGTTTAAATTGAAAAGCTTTTCTGGATTTTTTCCTATCTTAATTGTTTTTCTTACCTCGAGAGAAGTTCTAGCCTCGTCCAACCATCCTGATCTCGCGAGCTTACATTCTGTTTGGTGTCAGGTCAGGATGAGGATCAGACTAGAGCCAGCTTACATTCTGTTTGGTGTCAGGTCAGGATGAGGATCAGACTAGAGCCAGCTTACATTATGTTTGGTGTCAGGTCAGGATGGGGATCAGACTAGAGCCAGCTTACATTCTGTTGGGTGTCAGGTCAGGATGGGGATCAGACTAGAGCCAGCTTACATTCTGTTTGGTGTCAGGTCAGGATGGGGATCAGACTAGAGCCAGCTTACATTCTGTTTGGTGTCAGGTCAGGATGGGGATCAGACTAGAGCCAGCTTACATTCTGTTTGGAGTCAGGTCAGGATGGGGATCAGACTAGAGCCAGCTTACATTCTGTTTGGTGTCAGGTCAGGATGGGGATCAGACTAGAGCCAGCTTACATTCTGTTTGGTGTCAGGTCAGGATGGGGATCAGACTAGAGCCAGCTTACATTCTGTTTGGTGTCAGGTCAGGATGGGGATCAGACTAGAGCCAGCTTACATTCTGTTTGGAGTCAGGTCAGGATGAGGATCAGACTAGAGCCAGCTTACATTCTGTTGGGTGTCAGGTCAGGATGAGGATCAGACTAGAGCCAGCCTACATTCTGTTTGGAGTCAGGTCAGGATGGGGATCAGACTAGAGCCAGCTTACATTCTGTTGGGTGTCAGGTCAGGATGAGGATCAGACTAGAGCCAGCTTACATTCTGTTTGGAGTCAGGTCAGGATGGGGATCAGACTAGAGCCAGCTTACATTCTGTTTGGTGTCAGGTCAGGATGGGGATCAGACTAGAGCCAGCTTACATTCTGTTTGGTGTCAGGTCAGGATGGGGATCAGACTAGAGCCAGCTTACATTCTGTTGGGTGTCAGGTCAGGATGAGGATCAGACTAGAGCCAGCTTACATTCTGTTGGGTGTCAGGTCAGGATGAGGATCAGACTAGAGCCAGCTTACATTCTGTTGGGTGTCAGGTCAGGATGGGATCAGACTAGAGCCAGCTTACATTCTGTTTGGTGTCAGGTCAGGATGGGGATCAGACTGTAGGTTTTCTGTGTTGGACATAAAATACAATCCTGGCTCTATCTGGTTAATTGCCATGTGTACAACGTAAGTACATACAGTTGTCAGGTGTAAATACTTGTTAGGGTCTCTCACTGTTTCACCTATCTGTGTCCAACAGAGGATGAGGACTTCTCCATTCTGCTGAAGGCTCTGGAAGGTAATCATTATCATCTGCAGTTGGGCCCCATCTGTCCTTCTTTGAAGTCATCATGTCTAATCAGTGATTATAATTCACCTGTCTAGTCATTCCTAATTAGAATCAATCATGTCTAATCAGTGATTATAAGGAAGTGAGGAAGGAAGGGTACACTTTAAAAGACCTCTCAGTGGTGTCCTCTTAGGGCCCATTGGGCTCTGGTTAAAAGTAGTGCACTACAAAGGGAATAGGGCAGTGGTGTAAAGTACTTAGGTAAAAATACTTTAAAGTACTACTTAAGTTGTTTTTTGGGGTATCTGTACTTTACTATTTATATTTTTGACTACTTTCACTTAATTACATTCCTAAAGAAAATATTGTACGTTTTACTCCATACACCCAAAGTACTCCTTACATTTTGAATGCTTAGCAGAACAGGAAAATTGTGAAATTCACGCACTTATCAAAAGTTACTTGAGTAACTTTCTATTAAGATTTCTATACTTTTACTAAAGTATGACAATTGGGTACTTTTTCTACCACTGGCTATATTAGGGTGTGTTTGGGAGACAAGCCCTTGTATTAACCTGGTGTGTTTTCTCTACCAGACTACGAGGGGTTTGTGAAAGCAGGAGCTTCTCTTCCCTCGCTGGTCTGTGTCATCACAGGTAACTATAGTGTTGACAGTGTCCTGCTGCTGGTCTGTGTGGTCTAGGCAGGATTACTGTAAAGCGCTTTTACATGCTGCGTCTGATTTGGTCTTTTGACCAATCAGATCAGATCTTTTGCCAATAATTAGGCAAAATATCAGAATTGGGCTGCCTGTGTAAACGCAGCCTTTGCGTCAAAGGCTGATGTAAAAAGGGCTTTATGAATACATGTGATTTGATTGAGAAGCCTCACAAAAAATTACATTGTCAACTAACCTATTGTTGCTAGATTAAACCAACTGAGAAAAACCTTTACAAGCCCTGTCAGTCCTATACTGTTAACCCTAGAGAACGTATTGTTTCAATTCCCTGGGGGTGTGTGTGTGTGACCAGGTAAGGGTCCGCAGAAGGACCACTACAGGAAGCTGATAGACACTCTCAGCTTTGAGCATGTGAAGATCTGTACTCCATGGCTGGAGGCGGAGGACTACCCTGTTCTGCTAGGTTAGTATGGTCTTCCTGTCCCACGTTCAGCAGATCTGTGTGTGTATTTGTGTGTGTGTACTGATGTTCTCCCTGTCCCAGGATCAGCAGATCTGGGGGTGTGTCTCCATAAGTCGTCCAGTGGTCTGGACCTGCCTATGAAGGTGGTGGACATGTTTGGCTGCTGTCTGCCTGTCTGTGCCATCCACTTCCTCTGGTGAGACAGGACTCTTAACAGTCATCTTCTAACACACACACTGTGTGTGCCATCCACTTCCTCTGGTGAGGGAATAGTCTAAACCCTGGCTCAACAGTCACCTGTTACCACCGTGCAGAGGCTTTGTGCTGATCTGATCTGTTTGACTTTCCTGTGCTGTTTTCACTATGTATCGAACTCTGTTATATTCTCCTGTGTTGTCAGTCTCTCTGTTGTTAACTCTGTTATATTCTCCTGTGTTGTCAGTCTCTCTGTTGTTAACGCTGTTATATTCTCCTGTGTTGTCAGTCTCTGTTGTTAAACCTGTTCTATTCTCTGCTGTAGTCTACATGAGCTGGTGAAGCATGAGGAGAACGGCCTGATCTTCAAAGACTCTCAGGAACTAGCTGAACAGCTCAAGGTACAGTAGAGTAATATAATACTATTTAGCAGACAGCGAGAGGCTGAGGAGCTAGATACCTGCTACTCTACCCTTGATTTATACCATGAGATCACTTGAGTCGAAAGAATTGACAATGTTTCCCAGTGGTATGATCCTGTAAAGTGGAATCTTTTCTAAAATATATTCTGTTTTATCTGACTGGAACCTGTTCCTGTGATAGTAGTATATCGTCTGATATACACATGGCTGGAATGCTGTTTTAGCCAGGATCCAATATACCCGTTTTATAAAACCTGTTCATGTCCCTATGTTGTGTCTTGCCAGTCTCTGCTGTGGGACTTCCCTGGCTGTGAGGAGGAGGGCAGACTGGGTCAGTTCAGGAGGAACCTCCGGGCCAGTGGAGGGCAGCGGTGGGACCAGAACTGGGACCAGAACGTCCTGCCTCTCCTCACTGGACCCTGACCCCTGTTAGACAGACCTCGCTACATCATCTCTCTCTGTCTCTAACCCCCTTCTTGAGCCTCCAATCTTGAACATTTTAGTCATTTAGCAGACGCTCTTATCCAGAGCGACTTACAGGAGCAGTTAGGGTTTAGGATTAATTGCCTTGCTCAAGGGCACATCGACAGATGTTTCACCTAGTCGGCTCGGGATTCGAACCAGCAGCCTTTCGGTTACTGGCCCAGTAACCGCTAGGCTACCAACTGCCACATGCTCCACTTCTTTGAGGACCTGTCGGAAAGAGAGATTGTTACATCAGGCTAGTCTCTGTTCTCTCTCCCTCCCCATTTCTCTCTCTCTCTTCTCTGTCTCTCCCTTCTCATCTCTCTCCTCTGTCTCCCCCTTCTCATCTCTCTCCTTCTGTGGATCTCTTCATTCCCCTCTTAAACAACACTTGAATGTATAAATGGGATATTTTCCACAATGTAAATATGTTGATGTAAATAAAGACTTTATTACACTGTAATAATGTCTGGCTTGGTGTCGTATCGTCTGTGTCCCAAATGGCACCCAATTCCCTACCTAGTGCACTACTTTTGACCACAGCCCTATGGACCCTGGTCAAAAGTGCCATTTGGGATGCAGATATTATATGTAGAGTTTGATAATCTCTATGGTGGCTTGTCTGTTGTAAAGGAACACACGGGTCACTGGTCCTGTCATGAAGTCATGTTGTATTCCAGAACTTTCTGTGGGAGAGAAAAAACAAGAAGAATAAAAAATATATATAATTTTGAAAGATTCATTAGTTTCAGATGTGAGGTGTGACACTTAAAATTATAGATCCATTTAGAAAGGAATTCATCCAAGGCTACAGTGAGGGAAAAAAGTATTTGATCCTCTGCTGATTTTGTACGTTTGCCCACTCACAAAGAAATGATTATTAATTCAATGGTAGGTTTATTTGAACAGTGAGCGAGAGATCAACCAAAAAATCCAGGAAAAATCTGTCAAACAATGTTATAAATTGATTTGATTTTAATGAAATAAGTATTTGACCCCTCTGCAAAACATGACTTTACTTGGTGGTCAAACCCTTGTTGGCAATCACAGAGGTCAGCGGTTTCTTTAGTTGGCACCATGTTTGCACACTTCAGGAGGATTTGTCCATTCCTTTTGCAGATTTCTCCAAGTCTTAGGTTTCGAGGCTTAACGTTTGCAATCTCGAACCTTAGCTCACTGCAAAGATTTCTATGGTTAAGGTCTGGAGACTGGTAGCCCCTCCAGGACCTTAATGTGCTTCTTCTTTGAGCCACTTAGTGTTGCTTGGCCGTGTGTTTTGGGTCATTGTCATGCTGGAATAACATCCATCAGATCATTTTCAATGACCTGGCTGAGGGAAGGAGGTTTCACCAGGTTTGGGACGGTACATGGCCCCGTCTGTGTTCCTTTGATGCAGTGTATGTGTCCTGTATTAGCAGACTAAGCCCCCCAAAGCAAATGTTCCACCTAGTTTGACGTGGGATGTGTCTGGGGGTCCATAGGCGCATTTTTTCCAAACAGAGGCTGGTTGGGTTGTATGCCAAAGGCTCGATATGGTTCATTGACAAACACTTACCCATGTTCTCCTTCGAATCTTCGATTTCTTGTGGCAATCTTCAGACAGCCTTATATGTGTTCTTGAGCATGGGGACCTAGCGGCGCTGCCGGATTTAGTCTCACGCTAGTGGTGTAACCAATGTTTCTGGTGACTATGGTCCCACTGCTGAGAGTCATTGACAGATCCTCCCTGTGTTGGCTGATTCCTACGTTTTCATGTTCATTGCAAATCCACGAGGGAGATTTGCCATGGAGCCCAGGCCGTGGGGGCATCAGGAATTAGGAAACAGGACATATGGCAGCTAACAACAACAGAATTAGGAAACAACAGGACATATGGCAGCTAACAACAATAGAATTAGGAAACACATGTGATACCTCACCAGCACATGGGGGCTGTTCCAGAAAGCTGGATCAATTAGTTTGCCAGGTAACAGTCCACAAATGCTTGAAATAACGTAATATTTTTTGAGAAATCTATACTTTTTTTTGTAATTAAAGGCTGGATTCAATCCGTATCACCGAAGCATCGCAGAAGATCCGCATAAAAATGTAAAGGTAATTTCTGATTGAGTCGACATATGCAGTGTTTATTGTGATGGCAGTCTCCGCGACAGGGGGGGAACATTGCCTTTAATAGTCAATTGCGCTATAAAGCAGATCTTCAGCTTTACAGATTGAATAGAGCCCTACACTTTTGTTTTATGTAGAAGATATTACAACAATGAACACCCCCCAGGCCATGTTCCTACCTGCAGCGATGACCGTGGTGGCTCCGATCTCTCTGAGCTGCTTCTCTGTCACCGCATCCCAGTCCAGATCCTCCACACTCACCGACACTCTGGGAGAGTTCTGGTTGTCCAGCCCATTGAGCTGGACGTTGTCCCTCAGTCTATGTAGAACGCTGAGGTGACAGTCACTGAACACGTACCTGGAGGGACTGCAGGACCTACACACTGCTATACCGGTGAACCCTACCCCACTGCCCAGCTCTAGGACTGTCCTGTAGGACGGGAGAGGAGGGACAGGACTCACACACACACACAGGGAGAGGACACACACACAGGGAGAGGACACACACACACAGGGAGAGGACACACACACACAGGGAGAGGACACACACACACAGGGAGAGGACACACACACAGGGAGAGGACAACCACAGGGAGAGGGACACACCACACACAGGGAGATGGCAACACACACAGGGAGAGGACACACACACAGGGAGAGGACACACACAGGGAGAGGACACACACACAGGGAGAGGGACACACACACACAGGGAGAGGACACACACACACACAGGGAGAGGACACACACACACAGGGAGAGGACACACACCACACAGGGAGAGGACACACACACACACACAGGGAGAGGACACACACACACAGGGAGAGGACACACCAACACACAGGGAGAGGGACACACACACAGGGAGAGGACACACACACACAGGGAGAGGACAAACACACACACCAGGAGAGAGGACACACACAGGGAGAGGACACACACACAGGGAGAGGACACACACACAGGGAGAGGGCACACACACACAGGGAGAGGACACACACACACAGGGAGAGGACACACACAGGGAGAGGACACACACAGGGAGAGGACACACACACAGGGAGAGGACACACACACAGGGAGAGGACACACACACACACAGGGAGAGGACACACACACACACAGGGAGAGGACACACACACACACAGGGAGAGGACACACACAACACAGGGAGAGGACACACACACCAGATTGAGGTGATGAGTAGTAACAACAGCATGAGTTGTTGTAGACACAACACAATGACACACACACACACTAGTGTACCAACCTGCCAGTGAAGATGTGTGTGTTCTCCAGAGCCCATTCGGCTAGATAGAGGGCAGCCTCCCATGTGACCAGGCCTGTAGTTCCTTCAGAGATCACAGCTGTACTCTCTGATAGACTCACTGCTTCTCCACACGGCTACACACACACACGCACACACACACACGCACACACACATGGTAAATATAACATTAATATTTCATTAAAGTAATCTTGAATTTTAATAATCATTTAATTATTTATAAGAATAGAATAAGGGTCCCGTGTGGCTCAGCTGGTAGAGCATGGCGCTTGCAACGGCAGGGTTGTGGGTTCGATTACCCACGGGGGGACCAGTAGGAAAAAATGTATGCACTCACTACTGGAAGTCGCTCTGGATAAGAGCGTCTGCTAAATGACAAAAATGTAAAAATGAAGAATACAGTATTTGTTGAATACAGTGTGGTGTTTTGAAATGTGTGTGTGTGTCGTACCAGTAAATAGCTCTTGTAACACTCTGTCCCCTCCTCTACCCCCAGGACTTCACCCAGTGCATCATAGAGCTCATCCAGGGGCTCACTCTCACTGGCTTCATGCTGCGCACACACACACACACACACACACAGGGAAGAGAAGCATCACATTACTGTTGTTCGCTTCAACAAATTAACAATAAAGTTGTATTTTATTGTATTCATGTGAAAGTGTGCAATTTGTAAGAATTGGCTTTTTATCAACTTGAATGTTTTTTTCAATTGTGATTAAAAATTAAAAAATTAACATTCAAGTTGATAAATGCATCAGTTACTGTATGATAGTGCACTATTTTCTGACAGAATGATCCCAGACAAAAACATATCAGATAAAATAACCTACCATTTTGATGAGCTGAGACAGAAACAGTCTCCTGTATCTAACTGAGGGAGGATGTTTACAGCACATTGGATGAAGGCATGTCTGTAAACCAGTGAGAATAGTCATTGTTAGTGTGGTTTCCAACTGGGAAATCCAATGTATTGTTTCTATATCTTGAACTAAATAGGTGTGACGTGGTAAAAAAAAAGGATTGCTTTGACAGTTAGGCAATACCTGCTTTAGAATGTCTAGAATAATTTCTGATGAGCTGTCGTTCTCGAGCTCCCTTTCAAGGAACTATAGAAAGCAACAACAACAAAAAACGTTATGTTATTACTGTATTCATGTCTTACTATTGCTTAACCCCCCCCAAAAAAATTATGACATTCAATTTACGATGCAGACCCTACAGACAGTACATAGTACAACATGCAAGCAGCCTCGCTACTTACATTCCATGGGAAATTGGGCAGTTGGCCCATAGCGAAAAAGGAGACTTTGAAGTTATATATAACATCTTTTCTATTCCTTATGCAAGTAACATTGGTTTTGTTGGTCTGATCCTTAGACAGATACATTTCTTTAATTTTCAACCAATATTACAAAGGGATTTAATTCACGCATTTAAATTCACTTAACCACTGGATGGCCACGTGTTCCCTGAGTTTGTCGTCTTCCTCATTACCCAAGAAGCACTCCTCCTGTCGCAATGCCTGATGGTCAATGTAGTTTGATCATGACAGACAGTAACGTGATAAGGGATACATATTATTTTTTTAAGAAAGTACAAATTATAAAACCTTTACAATGAGATGAGAGCTGCATTATATTTCACAATAAAGCCTGTATCTTTATGCCTTCTGTTCTCAGTGCAACTCTTGAAACGGATAAAGGTCTATCGTTTTAGACCACTCCCCTGTCTGTGTTATCTCTACCACCACAACTGTCATCCCAAATAAATGAAGCACCCACAATGTGCCATATTACGAAATGTAGCATACTAAAGCTGCATAAGGACATAGCTATTCTTCTGAAATGTAACTTTCTTTGACATTTCATGTGAAATTAACTATCTCTTCTAAACGAACAAGCTATGCACATGGGGTGTAGGATATTATGGACCGTGGATGTGGGTTACTTATATTATGTACTTGTATAAAGCCTTTTTCAGCCCGCTCTTTTCTTGCAGTGTCATTCAGAAGATAACACCTCTACAGTTGTTCTTCATTCAACAGAATGACCTCCAACAGCAAGCAACACGTCTGAACATTGAAGGTCAGAAATGTAATTTTTCAAGGGTGATGTTTTCACTTTTTGTAATACTTTATTCAATATGGATATTATGGCTGCTTTAAAAGTATAGTCGAAATGAGATTACACTTTTGATTACAATCGTTTTGGTAATAAAGGGAAAGTGTGTCCTTTTCAAACTGGCAGAAATGTATGGGATCTTTTTTAAAGAATATTCAGTGGGTAGTGGAATTCAGTGGCCATAATAAAGTATAGTATTTTATGATTATATTTGATATTATTAGGCTAAATATCAAGCTTTTTTGTTGTGGATGGAAATTACTATCAGACAGAGGGTTTAGTTCAGATTATTCACAGAACAGCTACATTATCTCATCCTGTAATCCCCCGGTACTGTTGTTACTGCAATGGTATTCCAACCGGAGTGTAATTGTTGACAGACTATCAACAACAAAGATGGCTACCCACAGACGCTAACTTCAATTTGATAATTGAAGGGTAACTCACTAGTGGTACGATCCCAATGCACTATCTGTTAGAAACTGTATTGGTATCATATTGACAAAAGCAGATTTTCTTCGCATAGAAATAAACAACCTTACAGGTATGAAATGTTTTGTTTTATTTGCCGAAATGTTGTTAGCTAGCAGAAGACTGATTTAGCCGTTAGCTAACGTTAGCAAGCTACGTAAGGTAATAGCTGTCTCTTTGCACTGCGCCCAGTGTGGATATCTGCCTGCAGAATATATAAACAATGACATTGAAGATATGAATCCTAGCAGAGATGAATACAGAAACTATTGTTGATTGCCGATGGTTTTATTTTGACAACGGATAACGTTACGGGTGTCGCACAGCCTAGCCTCCGAAGCTGGCTGGAGTGTGCACTAACTTCGATTAGGCTATTTTTGCTCATTTAATAAAATTAAGCGTCTCAAACGTATACTGCAAATAGTAGATTAATGCCCAAAATAGTTTCGAATGTTATATTAACATATAACATAGTTTAGGCAGCAATAGTGCTGAAAGCAAGACAGCCAAATCAATAGTTCAGCCCACAGGCATGGTTGGCATGGAAACGAGTGCAAGGCTCAATATTCTGAAGGACATAAAGAGGGCAGCAGTGGGCAAAGCCAACGGAACTCGACTGAAACTGTCTGACAATGATTCGTTTGAGTTGACTAACAACAACTGTCCTGATTGCTGAACTGAAATGTCTGCTAACAGTTGGAGTGGGTAACGCTGACAACCCTCCTGATTCTTGATCATGTTTATTAAACAAGATCAGCTAGTGCAGCGTGGGTAATGGGTATACTAATTATTGGTAAATAGTGTAGGTGGGTAATGCATATACTAATGATTTCATCTTTCGCAAAATGTTTCTCCTTCCTTCAGATATCTGAAGACACTAAGCTAACCTGTGATCACCTACCCCAGGAGGCTAGACTGAAGAATCGTGCATGACCTCTGACCTCCAGTCCCATCATGATGCTGAAGATATTCTTCCCTCAGTGCTGCAACAAGGCAGACAGTGGGCTGCTTGTGGGGCGATGGATCCCAGGACAGAACTCAGCCGTGGTGCTAGCTGTTATCCACTACCCCTTCATCCCTGGACAGGTCAAACAGTACATCCACCAGGTAGAGTGTGTGTATGTGTCAGTCAGTGTGTATGTGACAGTCAGTCAGTGTGTGTGTGTGTGTGTGTGTGTGAGAGAGACGGTCAGTGTGTGTGTTTGTGTGTGTAAAACAGTCAGTGTGTGTGTGTTTTAACCTTCCTGTCCACTCTCCCTGGTCCAGATGCGTGGCCAGAGTGGGGTGGATCTGACGGTGCTGGGCTCGTGGAGCATGCCCAAGGAGGGCCAGGAGGGCATGGAGAGTTTCCTCAGGGACCTCAGCACCATCTTCCCCCAGGGACAGTGGCTCCAGCTCAGTAGAGAGATGGGCAAGATAGGCTTCAGGTGTCACGTCCTCACAAGGGACCAGAGTAAGTCTCCAGCTGCATCCCAAATGGCACCTATTGTTTCCTATATAGTGCACTACTTTTGACCAGGACCCATAAGGCTCTGATCAAAAGTAGCTGTTCCCAATATGAGGCACTACTTTTGACTAGGGCTGGGATGCAGACTTTGTAACAGCATTAAAGGTGTTAGTATTGATTCAGAGATCACTCTCTTTGGAGATCAACTGTTGATATCAAATTATTGATGGAATGGCTTTCTTATGAAATGAATGTTCTGTCTATAGATGTGCATCACTGTTTTCTCATACTGTAGCAAATGTTAATAAGTAAGTTAAGAAGAGTTTGCGAATTAGATAGCTTAGTTCAATCTGCTCTTTTTAATTTATAGAGACACATATGTCTGTTCACTGTATATTTTCATCAGAAGATGGATATTTATTTTGTTATCATCATGTAGTGAATCTGTAATAAAAATGTCCCTCTGCCCCTGCCGTAGATGGGAAGCTGGTACAACAGGAAAAGGAGCTGAATGAGGGTGATGGAGAGGAAGAGAAAGAAGGAGGAAAGAGAGGAGAAGGAGGAGGAGAGAAAGAAGGAATGAAGAAAGGAGGGGGAGAGAAAGGAGGAGAGAAGAAAGGAGGGGGGAGAAGGGGAGAGTCTCGAGGTCTTAATCTCCAGGGAGAAGAGAAAGAGAGGAGGAAAAAGGCTGAAGAAAGGAGTGGAAGAGCCCAGGAGAGAAGAAAGAGGGAAGAGAAAGAGGAGAGTCAAAGAGGAATCTTGTAAAGGAGGGGAGTAAAAGGAAGAGTCTTCCCCCGGGGGGGGAAGAGAAAGGAGGAGAAGAGAAAGGAGGAGGAGAGAAGGACAAGGTGATCTTTATCCACTATGAACAGAGGAAGGTAATGCTGTCTCAGCTGCACCCCATAGAGAACGGTGTTCCAGACCCTCAAACTGAGTCACAACTACCACAGGTGAGGATGGGAACTGACAACCTTCTTTACATTTAGATGTCATTTAGCACAGGGTTTTCTATCCTCTCCTGTGTTGTGTTGTGTTGTTGTTGTTGTTGTTGTAATACATTTGTGTTGTCTGTAATTCTTATGTTGTTGTTGTAATACATATGTGTTGTCTGTAATTATTATGTTGTTGTTGTTGTTGTTGTTGTTGTAATACATATGTGTTGTCTGTAATTATTATGTTGTTGTTGTTGTTGTTGTTGTTGTAATACATATGTGTTGTCTGTAATTATTATGTTGTTGTTGTTGTTGTTGTTGTTGTTGTAATACATATGTGTTGTCTGTAATTATTATGTTGTTGTTGTTGTTGTTGTAATACATATGTGTTGTCTGTAATTATTATGTTGTTGTTGTTGTTGTTGTAATACATATGTGTTGTCTGTAATTATTATGTTGTTGTTGTTGTTGTTGTAATACATATGTGTTGTCTGTAATTATTATGTTGTTGTTGTTGTTGTTGTTGTTGTTGTAATACATATGTGTTGTCTGTAATTATTATGTTGTTGTTGTTGTTGTTGTACATATGTGTTGTCTGTAATTATTATGTTGTTGTTGTTGTTGTTGTTGTAATACATATGTGTTGTCTGTAATTATTATGTTGTTGTTGTTGTTGTTGCTGCAGGTGTTTGGGACAGTGTGTCAGAGTGAGCCTCTGTTCTTCCTGGATAAGTATGATGACAGTCCAGTGAAGCTGACCCACTGGCAATCAGAGGGACGGGAGGGCTCCATTATAGTAGAACTGATGAAACAGGCCTCTACACCTGTCTGTCTGCTAACCACCTGGATACTAACACTGTGGACCAGCCTCTGTAGTAGCAGGTAAGGGGTGTGGGTGTCAGTACCTGTCTGTCTGCTAAACACCTGGATACTAACACTGTGGACCACGTTCTTCAAGTGTGTGTGTGTGTGTGTGTGTGTGTGTGCGTGCGCGCGCCCCACAGCTGCAGGTGTGTGTATTTGCGTGCGTTCAGTATGCACCCGTGTACGTGCATCAGTTGCAACTCTTTATGTGCCAAGAGACACTAACCCAATTCTCAATTTCGTCTGTCTGTCTGTCTGTCTGTATATTGGTCTGTCCGTCTGTCTGTCTCCCCAGGATATTGAATGTGCGTCCGATGAGGTTCATCTCCAGTAAGTTGTCTACGTGTGTTCAGCTGAGCTACAGAACAGAACACCTTCAGACAGTCAGCTCTCCTACCAGAGCCAGCACACACACACACTTCATGAGGTAGGGACCACACACACACACACACGCACACACACACACACACACACACCGCCATGTGGCAGACTTACTACATGATGTAGGTATCTAACTCACCCCCTTCATCTCAAATTGCATCTGATTCCCTATATAGTGCACTACTTTTGACCAGAGCCCTATTGACCCTGGTGAAAAGTCGTGACTCTCTCTCTCTCTCTCTTTCTCTCTCCCTCTCTGTCCCTCTCTCTCTTTCTCTCCATAGGAAAGCCAATATCTTTGTGTCGTTCTTTGTGGATGTGTCTCTGGGCCTGCTGTTGATATCATGGCTGTATAGAGAGAACCGTATAGGCAAACTGGCCAACACACTGGTACCTGCTGCTGATGTAAGTCAATCACACATTATGGGCAACATTTCCCTAGTGCAAAAATTACCGTAAACCTCTTTATAATCTGTCAAAAGTGATTTCATTTGAAACTTTTCTTCAACAATGTTCGATATAGAGAGGCGACTATTTATGTATTGCTCAGTTGACTAAACTCTAGTTAAATAATCACCTCCATATAACGCACATTATTGAAGATAAGTTTCAAATGAAATCACGTTGCCAGATTATAAAAAGGTTCAGGGTCATTTTTGCACATTGCTTTTGCACTACGAAAATGTCTCCCTAAATGTCTTATCTCAGTGTATGTGTTCTGATCTAGGATCAGTTCTGCCTTTTAGATAACAAAGAATAAGATGGACAGAGGGGAGCTGATACATATTACCCCAGGTCCCTCCTGTCCATATAATCATATTCATTGTGATCCAAAAGGCTAAACTGAGCCTAGGTCAGCACTCTGAGCCACTTGATACATACAGCCCATAGTGTATATATTATAAAGTGAGACTGAATCTTGTTCTATGATTTGTTAGCATGTAGCTAAGCTATGTATTGTTGTGTGTTTTGTTGTTAGCATGTTGCAAAGCTGTGTTTTGTTGTTAGCATGTAGCTAAGCTATGTATTGTTGTGTGTTTTGTTGTTAGCATGTTGCAAAGCTGTGTTTTGTTGTTAGCATGTAGCTAAGCTATGTATTGTTGTGTGTTTTGTTGTTAGCATGATGTATTGTTGTGTGTTTTGTTGTTAGCATGTAGCTAAGCTATGTATTGTTGTGTGTTTTGTTGTTAGCATGTTGCAAAGCTATGTATTGTTGTGTGTTTTGTTGTTAGCATGTAGCTAAGCTATGTATTGTTGTGTGTTTTGTTGTTAGCATGTAACTAAGCTATGTATTGTTGTGTGTTTTGTTTTGAGCATGTAGCTAAGCTATGTATTGTTGTGTGTTTTGTTGTTATCATGTAGCTAAGCTATGTATTGTTGTGTGTTTTGTTGTTAGCATGTAGCTAAGCTATGTATTGTTGTGTGTTTTGTTCTTAGCATGTAGCTAAGCTATGTATTGTTGTGTGTTTTGTTCTTAGCATGTAGCTAAGCTATGTATTGTTGAGTGTTTTGTTGTGAGCATGTAGCTAAGCTATTACATTTTACATTTACGTCATTTAGCAGACGCTCTTATCCAGAGTGACTTACAAATTGGTGCATTCACCTTATAGCCAGTGGGATAACCACTTTACAATGTTTAAAAAAAAAAAAAATGTTTTGGGGGGGGTGGGGTAAGGAGGGGGTAGAAGGATTACTTTATCCTATCCCAGGTATTCCTTAGGAGGAGCGGGGTGACATGAGAGAACTTGGGAAGGTTGAACACCAGACGGGCTGCGGCATTCTGGATGAGTTGTAGGGGTTTAATGGCACAGGCAGGGAGCCCAGCCAACAGTGAGTTGCAGTAATCCAGACGGGAGATTACAAGTGCCTGGATTAGGACCTGTGCCGCTTCCTGTGTAAGGCAGGGTCGCACTCTCCGAATGTTGTAGAGCATGAACCTACAGGATCGGGTCACTTCCTTGATGTTAGCGGAGAACAACAGGGTGTTGTCCAGGGTCACGCCAAGGCTCTTCGCACTCTGGGAGGAGGACACAACGGAGTTGTCAACCGTGATGGCGAGATCATGGAACGGGCAGTCCTTCCCCGGGAGGAAGAGCAGCTCCGTCTTGCCAAGGTTCAGCTTGAGGTGGTGATCCGTCATCCACACTGATATGTCTGCCAGACATGCAGAAATGCGATTCGCCACCTGGTTATCAGAAGGGGGAAGGAGAAGATTAGTTGTGTGTCGTCTGCGTAGCAATGATAGGAGAGGCCATGTGAGGATATGAGAGAGCCAAGTGACTTGGTGTATAGCGAGAATAGGAGAGGGCCTAGAACTGAGCCCTGGGGGACACCAGTGGTGAGAGCACGTGGTGCGGAGACAGCTTCTCGCCATGCCACTTGGTAGGAGCGACCGGTCAGGTAGGACGCAATCCAAGAGTGAGCTGCGCCGGAGATGCCCAGCTCGGAGAGGGTGGAGAGGAGGATCTGATGGTTCACAGTATCAAAGGCAGCAGACAGGTCTAGAAGGACAAGAGCAGAGGAGAGAGAGTTAGCTTTAGCAGTGCGGAGAACCTCCGTGACACAGAGAAGAGCAGTCTCAGTTGAATGACCAGTCTTGAAACCTGACTGGTTTGGATCAAGAAGGTCATTCTGAGAGAGATAGCAAGAGAGTTTGCTAAAGACGGCACGCTCAAGAGTTTTGGAGAGAAAAGAAAGAAGGGATACTGGTCTGTAGTTGTTGACATCAGATGGATCGAGTGTTGGTTTTTTGAGAAGGGGTGCAACTCTTGCTCTCTTGAAGACGGAAGGGACATAGCCAGCGGTCAAGGATGAGTTGATGAGCGAGGTGAGGTAAGGGAGAAGGTCACCGGAGATGGTCTGGAGAAGAGAGGAGGGGATAGGGTCAAGCGGGCAGGTTGTTGGGCGGCCGGCCGTCACAAGTCGCAAGATTTTATCTGGAGAGAGAGGGGAGAAAGAAGTCAAAGCATAGGGTAGGGCAGTGTGAGCAGGACCAGCAGTGTCATTTGACTTAACAAACGAGGATCGGATGTCATCAACCTTCTTTTCAAAATGGTTGACGAAGTCATCCACAGAGAGGGAGGAGGGGGGGGGGGAGAGAGGAGGGTTCAGCAGGGAGGAGAAGGTGGCAAAGAGCTTCCTAGGGTTAGAGGCAGATGCTTGGAATTTAGAGTGGTAGAAAGTGGCTTTAGCAGCAGAAACAGATGAAGAAAATGTAGAGAGGAGGGAGTGAAAAGATGCCAGGTCCGCAGGGAGTCTAGTTTTCCTCCATTTCCGCTCGGCTGCCCGGAGCCCTGTTCTGTGAGCTCGCAATGAGTCATCAAACCACGGAGCTGGAGGGGAGGATCGAGCCGGCCAGGAGGATAGGGGACATAGAGAGTCAAAGGATGCAGAAAGGGAGGAGAGGAGGGTTGAGGAGGCAGAATCAGGAGATTGGAGGGAGAAGGATTTAGCAGAGGGAAGAGATGATAGGATGGAAGAGGAGAGAGAGAGCGAAGGTTGCGACGGCGCATTACCATCTGAGTAGGGGCAGAGTGAGTAGTGTTGGAGGAGCGTGAGAGAGAAAAGGATACAAAGTAGTGGTCGGAGACATGGAGGGGAGTTGCAGTGAGATTAGTAGAAGAACAGCATCTAGTAAAGATGAGGTCAAGCGTATTGCCTGCCTTGTGAGTAGGGAGGGACGGTGAGAGGGTGAGGTCAAAAGAGGAGAGGAGTGGAAAGAAGGAGGCAGAGAGAAATGAGTCAAAGGCAGACGTAGGGAGGTTGAAGTCACCCAGAACTGTGAGGGGTGAGCCATCCTCAGGAAAGGAACTTGTCAAGCTCATTGATGAACTCTCCAAGGGAACCTGGAGGGCGATAAATGACAAGGATGTTAAGCTTGAATGGGCTAGTGACTGTGACAGCATGGAATTCAAATGAGGAGATAGACAGATGGGTCAGGGGAAAAAGAGAGAATGTCCACTTGGGAGAGATGAGGATTCCTGTGCCACCACCCCGCTGACCAGATGCTCTCGGGGTATGCGAGAACACATGGTCAGACGAGGAGAGAGCAGTAGGAGTAGCAGTGTTTTCAGTGGTAATCCATGTTTCCGTCAGCGCCAAGAAGTCGAGGGACTGGAGGGTAGCATAGGCAGCTATGTATTGTTGTGTGTTTTGTTCTTAGCATGTAGCTAAGCTATGTATTGTTGTGTATTTTGTTGTTAGCATGTAGCTAAGCTATGTATTGTTGTGTGTTTTGTTGTGAGCATGTAGCTAAGCTATGTATTGTTGTGTGTTTTGTTGTTAGCATGTAGCTAAAGAGCTGGAGGAGCTGTTGCAGTGGCTGATGGGAGCTCCAGCTGGTCTGAAGATGAACCGGGCTCTAGACCAGGTGTTAGGACGATTCTTCCTCTACCATATACACCTGTGGATCAGTGAGTCTCACACATACACACACACACACACACACACACACACACACACACCCATGCTCCACCTCCACACACACACACACCCATGCTCCACCACCACACACACCACACACCCATGCCCCCCTCCACACACACACACCACCCATGCCCCCCTCCACACACACACACACAACACACACACACACACACACACACACACACACACACACCCATGCTCCACCTCCACACACACACACACCCATGCCCCCCCTCCACACACACACACACCCATGCCCCCCCCTCCACACACACACACACCCATGCCCCCCCTCCACACACACACACACCCATGCCCCCCCTCCACACACACACACACACCCATGCCCCCCCTCCACACACACACACCCATGCCCCCCCTCCACACACACACACACCCATGGCCCTCCTCCTCTCTCTGCAGGCTACATTCACCTGATGTCTCCGTTCATTGAGATGATTCTGTGGTACGTGGGTCTGTCTGCCTGCCTGGGCTTGACCTTTGCCCTCTCCCTGCTCTCTGACATCACCGCCCTGCTCACCTTCCACATCTACTGTTTCTACGTCTACGGAGCCAGGTGAGAAGAGACCAGTCACTAACCCTAACCCTTCTATATCTACTGTTTCTACGTCTACGGAGCCAGGTGAGAAGAGAAGAGACCAGTACAGTCATGATGCCTCTCAAAAGTGCACCACTTTTGACCGTATCCCATAATGCACTATAACGTTTTTTCATTTGGGACACAGACATTGGGTCTTCAGTGTACAGTTGAAGTCTGAAGTTTACATACACCTTAGCCAAATACATTTAAACTCAGTTTTTCACAATTCCTGACATTTAATCCTAGTTGAAATTCCCTGTCTTAGGTCAGTTAGGATCACCATTTTATTTTAAGAATGTGAAATGTCAGAATAATAGTAGAGAGTGATTTATTTCAGCTTTTATTTCTTTCATCACATTCCCAGTGGGTCAGAAGTTTACATACACTCAATTAGTACTTGGTAACATTGCCTTTAAATTGTTTAACTTGGGTCAAACGTTTCGGGTAGCCTTCCACAAGCTTCCCACAATTCTTACATTTACAATTACATTTACGTTATTTAGCAGACGCTCTTATCCAGAGCGACTTACAGTTAGTGCATACATTTTTTATTTTTTATTTTTTATACTGGCCCCCCATGGGAATCGAACCCACATCCCTGGCGTTGCAAACACCATGCTCTACCAACTGAGCTACCTCCCTGCCGGCCATTCCCTCCCCTACCATGGACGACGCTGGACCAATTGTGCGCCGCCCCATTGGTCTCCCGGTTGCGGCCGGCTACAGCAGAGCCTGGATTCGAACCAGGATCTCTAGTGGCACAGCTAGCACTGCGATGCAGTGCCTTAGACCACTGCGCCACTCGGGAGGTTCTTCTTGCAACCGTTCGTTCTTCAGTGTAATGGCAGGTTAATACGTCATGAGAGTAAGAATGACCACATATTTTCATCTTCTTCTTAAAGCCTCGTTCACATTACCCATGAGCACTCCCATTACGTTGCGCCGGATGTCATGCATTTCAACGGGGACGACGACATCCACAACAAAGTGGAAACGCAACGCGTTGCGGTTGAAGGCTCCGTTGCAAGACGGACCCTGCATAATTTGTCCTCTTCTGTCCAGCCAGAGTCCGTCGAAGAACAGGACGTTTACCAAACCACAGAAGAAGATGAAAATATGTGGTTTTCGGTGATTGCTTTATGGGATAGCTAGCAACTTGTAAACAATGACCCATTCCTATAAATGAGTACTATTTTAATAGTCATGTAAAATAATACACATTGGCTGTTAAGCCAATTATATTATATGACTGTTGCCTCCCGTTTAAGTTTATTGTGATGGTAATGACGTTTGTTTTTTATGATAATTATTAGGTAGATAGATACAATGGTATCTTCAACCCAGCCTAGCTTTTAGCTCGCTAGCTAGCTGCTCTGCAGTGCAAGCTAGCTTGACTTGCTAACAAGTTGAGGAAAAAGTAACTAAACTAAACATATTTTATTATCACCTGAAACAATATAGTTATCCTGTCTTGAATGAAAAGGTCATATTTTGCGATCTCCCAAAATAAATACGATCCCTGATGAGAGACAAGCTCTCCTCCATCTTTCGTTACAAACGCTACACTTCTCCGTTCAGTAGCGGAGGCTACTACTGCTTTTTGGCCATTCCCGCAGATAAATTATGAAAACATTCCATGTAAATGTTGAGTCCTCGCTGCAGGAACAATAGGTAGTAGAGAGAAAGCCTTATTGTGGTCCCAAATATGATAAAAGAAAACAGATTGAAGGTTATAAAAGCTAATGTCATGATACTTATATGGTAGTATTAAAGATATTGATATAGGTCTACTGATTTGATTTAGTGTTGACAAGGGAGTAGTCAACTGCTGCTTTCTGTCAAGCAAAGCCCATGTTTAACAATCTACATGTAAAATCTATTGGTGTGTTTGAGCCCTTAGTCTGTGTTCGGACGCACTGCGTCTCCTCTGCTCAGCCGCTGTCTATAAATAAAATTAAAATTGTATTCGTCACATACACGTGTTTAGCAGATGTTATTGCGGGTGTAGCGAAATGCTTGCGCTTCTTGCTCCGAAAGTGCAGTAATATCTAACAATTAATATCTAACAATTTCACAACATATACCCAATACACACAAATCTAAGTAAGGAATGGAATTAAGAATATATACATATATGGACGCGCAATGACAGAGCGGCATGGACTAAGATACAGTAGAATATTATAGAATACAGTATATACATATGAGATGAGTAATGCAAGATATGTAAACATTATTAAAGTGACTAGTGTTCCTTTTCTTAAACTGGCCAGTGATTTCAATAGGCAGCAGCAGCCTCTAATGTGCTAGTGATGGCTATTTAACAGTCTGACGGCCTTGAGATAGAAGCTGTTTTTCATTCTCTCGGTCCCAGCTGTGATGCACCTGTACTGACCTCGCCTTCTGGATAATAGCGGGGTGAACAGGCAGTGGCTCGGGTGGTTGATGTCCTTGATGATCTTTTTGGCATTCTTGTGACATCGAGTGCTGTAGATGTCCTGGAGGGCGGGTAGTTTGCCCCCGGTAATGCGTTCGGCAGACCGCACCACCCTCTGGAGAGCCCTGCGGTTGCGGGCGGCGCAGTTGCCATACCAGGCGGTGATACAGCCCGACAGGATGCTCTCAATTGTGCGTCTGTAAAAGTTTGTGAGGGTTTTAGGTGCCAAGCCAAATTTCTTCAGCCTCCTGAGGTTGAAGAAGCTCTGTTGCGCCTTCTTCACCACACTGTCTGCGTGGGTGGACCATTTCAGTTTGTCAGTGATGTGTACGCCAAGGAACATGAAGCTTTCCACCTTCTCCACTGCAGTCCCGTCGATGTGGATAGGGGGGTGCACCCTCTGCTGTTTCCTGAAGTCCACGATCATCTCCTTTGTTTTGTTGACGTTGAGTGAGAGGTTATTTTCCTGGCACCACACTCCCAGAGCCCTCACCTCCTCCCTGTAGGCTGTCTCGTCATTGTTGGTAATCAAGCCTACTACTGTTGTCGTCTGCAAACTTGATGATTGAGTTGGAGGCGTGCTTGGCCACGCAGTCATGGGTGAACAGGAAGTACAGGAGGGGGCTGAGCACGCACCCTTGTGGGGCGCCAGTGTTGAGGATCAGCGAAGTGGAGATGTTGTTTCCTACCTTCACCACCTGGGGGGCGGCACGTCAGGAAGTCCAGGACCCAGTTGCACAGGGCGGGGTTCAGACCCAGGGCCTCGAGCTTAATGATGAGCTTGGAGGGTACTATGGTGTTGAATGCTGAGCTATAGTCAATGAACAGCATTCTTACATAGGTATTCCTCTTGTCCAGATGGGATAGGGCAGTGTGCAGTGTGATGGCGATTGCATCGTCTGTGGATCTACTGGGGGCGGTAAGCAAATTTAAGTGGGTCTAGGGTGACAGGTAATGTAGAGGTGATATGATCCTTGACTAGTCTTTCAAAGCACTTCATGATGACAGAGGTGAGTGCTACGGGGCAATAGTCATTTAGTTCAGTTACCTTTGCTTTCTTGGGTACAGGAACAATGGTGGCCATCTTGAAGCATGTGGGGACAGCAGACTGGGATAGGGAGAGATTGAATATGTCCGTAAACACACCAGCCAGCTGACGGTGCATTCGTTCTGGTTTTCCTGTTGGCTGAATTTTTTTTTGGGCTACTCCATCGAGTTTAACGAGATGAAAGCGCTGCTGGCTCTGACCCGGAACCCCTGGCAGGCTAAAACGAACGCACCAAAACAGTACTACGTTGTCCTCTGCATTTCTGTCAAAATAAGAAAAACTTTCAGAATGACCGAGTGGATGCTGACAGACTCGGGAGTCGGGATCCACATTCAACGACACAAGTGTCAGTCTTTGTTCATGGTATGTTCACACTCAATTATTATATTTAAAAAGAGATGTGGACTGGGTCTAATAAAGTAGGTGAACTTCAACTATAATACAAGAGCACGGCGCTTGTAACGCCAAGGTAGTGGGTTCGATCCCCGGGACCACCCATACACAAAAATGTATGCACGCATGACTGTAAGTCGCTTTGGATAAAAGCGTCTGCTAAATGGCATATTATTATTATTAATATTTGCGTTGAAATACCTTCATTAATGATAGTGACGACTTATCCTTCCACTTATCCTGTGTTTTCAAAATACCCCTCAAAATACCCCTCAAAATACTCCTCTTTAGAGGCATAATGAGTAATGTCAAACTGTGTAGAATTGCAGGAAATGCATTTAAAAATGTCAAAAGGAACTCCGGGGGAGGACCACCAGACTGTTCGTTCCCACTATATCTACACCACAATTTCGCCCTTGTCTCAATGCATGTACACACTCCTATTGAATATGCATTCACCTGTATTGTGAGTAGGCCTATGCCATCTTGATTTACCCATTTTATTAAGAGATCTACCATTCAAAGAAAAGTATTACCATTATGTTAGATATTTTATTTTTTAATGATATTTTTTAATAATAATTGTTTTAATATAATAAATTAATGCGTACATGGCTGTCTCTGGGGAATTTTGTCATCAGAATTTTCAGATTTGATTGAATATCGGCATAAAACGTCCACCACCTTGACCCCCCCAAAAAAATCTGCATCGGTCCTAAAAGATCCATACGGGTCGTGTGTGTGTGTGTGTGTGTGTGTGTGTGTGTGTGTGTGTGTGTGTGTGCTGTAACACTAACAAAGCATCATTATGAAACGCCTCTTGATCTGACTGATTCATGTCCAAATGCTACTGAACCCAGTGTCGAAGTCTGGCCTGTCTGAGGGAGTGTCTCCGTCCCAAATGGCTCCCTATAATAAGGGACTATACAGGGAGTACAGTAGGGAAGCCATTTGGGAGCGATTAAGGGACCATTTGGGACTCACAGAGTGTTACAGTGAGTAGGGAGCCATTTGGGACTCACTCAGTGTTACAGTGAGTAGGGAGCCATTTGGGACACATTCAGTGTTACAGTGAGTAGGGAGCCATTTGGGACTCACT